CCTGCCTCCCTCTGTGCCCTGTTGTCTCTCAGTCGGAACCTCCCTACCCCCGGAAGAGCACACAACGGAGAAGAAACGACCCTCTCCCAGTCACCACTGAGAAACAGAACTTCTGGTAGTTCCTGCTCTGTTTCTAATTTGCTGTGTGCATTTGGCCACATTTTTACCCTCTCTGGGTCTGGATTTTGGTCCTGTTGGTCTGAGAGGCTGATGTGGCAGGGAGCAGTGTGTGTGTGTGGAGAGAGAGAGAGAGAAAGAGAGAGAGAGAGGTGGACTATGGAGACAGCTATATACAGCAGCTCTGGGGTGTCAGCCCTTCTGTGGCTTGGGTAGACCACTCTACTTTAGGGCTGTGTGCTGTTTCCTCATTCATACATCTGGTTGTTGAAGATGCAGAGAGAACACATGTGGGAATTTGCTAGCATAGGGTCTAGCCCTGGGAATAAACACTTTTGCTGCTACCCTGCGACTCCCATTGGTCCCTTGTTCCACTAGGGATGGCAGGAGACTTGGGAGAGGCTGTTAAGTGAGAGAGACATACATACGCAGAGAGAAGGAGAGAGAGAGAGAGAGAGAGAGAGAGAGAGAGAGGAGATGGGGAAGGTGTGAGTCCCCAGGGCTGGGAGCAGATGGAGGGCCACCCTTCACTCCCTAACTGTCCTGAAGGGAGAAATGGAACACAAGCCGCTGGACACCACAGACTACTTCTTGACCCAGAGGCTTGGCACATCTTCCATGGCTGGTAGGGCTGATAGCCTGGCCACCTCAGCTCTGGTGTCAATAGAAAGGGAAGGGAAAGAGGAAGGGGGACTGGGAGAGAGGAGGTGGAAGGTGTAGATGTCACCTCCTCAGTCCCACCATGCCTTGAGAGGTCTAACAGGAGAAGGGGCAGCCCTCGCCCTCAGTCCCATCCAGGGCAACCTGCTCCCATTTGTATCAAATTTATAGGTGCATTCTGTCACCTAGACCTGTCCCAGCCAGGTGCACACACCCACTCACCCACACCCCCAACACATGCTCATCACAGACGCACCCACTGCAAAGGAACAGCATCCCTCATACAAGAAATAGCAGACCCTTGCCTGTTTTCAGAACACAAGCTTCATGGCCATAGCAAGGTATACTCGGATACGCCATCACTTCACCACAGGACACACATGTACATACATACTACACACAATCATCCAGACACATGCGACCCTCACCTGACCACAGTGCACATCTACCCCACCCTATAGCAACCTGACACCCACAGCCCACACTTAGCCACACGCTAAAGAGACACAGCATGAAATCATACACACCCACACTCTTGGGTGAAGAAGACTCAAGGCAAGGAACCCACCAGAGCCTCACCTGACTACAGGGCAATATGTCCCTACTGGAGATACAGGGAACACACAACCGGAATTCTGTCTCACACACACCACACACACAAGCACATCACCACATGCACTCACACACACAGACCGCTCACCACCCTGCGTTCCATACTACCACCTATCCATCCTAGACTTGGCACATCCTCCTGGCCAGAGCCGAGGAGGGGCTCTGGGGATCTCAACCACGGGAGTGAGCCCTCTGTCCTCACCTGGGGGTGGGGGAGAGAAGGGTATCAGCAGCCGCTCCCTGCTCTTCCCTTCTTCCCTCCCCCACCCCCAGTCCGTGCTACAGCTGCTGCATTGCAGGCACCGCCCGACACCTCGTGAGCAACCGGGCAGGACTGGGGACCTGACCCCAAGGCCCTGGCAGTCGGGGACAGCATCCCAGGCTGCGCTCTGGAACAGGGACGCGTGGGGGCCACAGGCGCTGACGTCACAGGGCCGGAGAGGTTGGTTGAGGGGGCGCCGAGGGCCCAGGTCTCCCCTACATTCCTGCTCAAGCATTCCTGTCCTGACCTACGCGGACCCCGAAACCACGACCCCAGCCAGAACGCTGTCTCCCCAATGACGTCATTACTGAAGGGGCTCCGGGACTTTCTTCCTTAATCCCCCTCTGCGGTTCGCCCCTCCACTCGTCCCCTTCACCTCTCTCCAGCCCTGGCTCGGTCCCCACCACACGCCGCCTGTACCTCCTCCCGCAGCGGCTCGCTGTCCGGAATGAGTGCGGGCACCTCCCCGCAGTCGCCACCTTCGCCCTCCGGCATGGTGTCCTGGCTGCTCCGGCTGCCGGGCCCGGGCCCCGGGCATGATAAGCGGTGGGGCGCGGAGGGCTGCGGCGCTGCCCCGAGGGGCGTCCGCTCGGCTCGGCGGCCGCTGAGGAGTGCGCCGAGCCTAGCCGGAGCTCAGCCCGAGCGCGGCGGCGTTGGCGGCCGCGGTGCCCGGCGCCCCGCCCTCCGCTGACCCCGCCCCCGCGGCACCGGCGGCGCCGCTGGCCGCGCCTGGCACCGCGGGCGCCCCTCGCCTCTGGGAAGCCCAATCTGGGCCGCCGGACGCCTGGCTTCTCTGGCCGAGCTCGCACTTGCGACCTTGGGCGAGTCCTTGCTCTAAGGTGCCCGAGTCTCCCCAGCTGCGTATGAGGCGGGTGATTCTGCAGGTGGGTGGGTGCCCGCCGGGGCCCCTCTCTAGGGAATGGGCCCAGCTCTATAAGCCCACCCAGACTCCACCCCAGAAGCTTTGCTTGTTATTCCCAGAAGGGAAAGATTAGTTTCATTGGCTGGACTCTGCTGAGGGCTGGAGGGCTGGAGCTAGGGCACCAGGACTAGGCTGCACGATCTTTGACCAGCATGTTTAACCCCTAAACTCAGCTTTTCTATCAGGGAAATGGATATGGAAAAGTGTTGGATTAAATTCACTATTCTTCTCAGACCAGGCAGAGGAATAGGTTCTGTCCTGACTGGGACAGCCTTTTCCAAGATGCATAAGGAAGGCCCCTATACTCCTCCTTCACCCTCACGGGGCTGGGCTCCTCACACCCAGGCTTGGGTCTGGACCTTGCCCCCAATCTAGATAATTAATGGGTAGGACAGAGGGAGCTGTAAGTTAGGTGGGCTTTTCATTGTGTGTTTGAACAAAGGGTAATTCCATAATTGTTTAAACTTTAGAAGATGGTGTAACAGATATAAAGGACTGTTTTGTGCTTTTTATTTATCATTTTTGGGTTTTTTGAGACTTGGTTTCTCCGTGTAGCCCTGGCTGTCCTGGAACTCGCACTATAGATCAGGCTGGTCTCAATCTCAGAGGCATAATTGCCTCTGCCTCCTGAGTGCTGGGATTAAAGGCATGTGCCACCATCATCCCGATTCATTTTTTTTAAATATTTGTGTTTATTTTAAAAAATTGTTATTTTGCCTCTGTGGGTGTTTTGCCTTTACGTATGTTTGTGTACCACATGAATGCAGTGCCCACACAGGCCAAAAGAGAGTACTGGGTCTCCTGGAGCTGGAGTTAGAGATGACTGTGAGCCGCCAAGGGATGATGGGAATCCAACCCAGGCAAACAGTGCTCTTAACTGTTGAGCCATCTCTCCACTGCCCCATTTGTTTGCTTGCTTAGTGGGCAAAGATGTTTGCTGGCTAGCTTCTAGTGTAATTGGTGTGCTTGGACACTAGGAGGACATAGATAGACGTGGAGAATGACAAAATCCTTGTCCTCGTAGAAGTTATCTAGGGAAAAGTCTCGCTAACGCTGGGAGGGCCAGAGGCCTGAGCCTGGCCTCTGTAAGAGCTAAACTGACCCCCACATCTAAAATGTAACCACGTTTTAAATTTATTTCGTGTATCTCTCTCTGGGTGGGGTGTATGTGAAGCGGTGCACTTTAAGCTCAGTGCAAGTCAGAGGATGACCTTCGGGAGTTGATTCGCTTCTTCCACTATGTAGGGTCTGGGAATTGAACTTAGGTCCTCAGGATTGGCCGTCTGCTGAGCCATCTCACACAAAGGCTAATGTGACTCTTAAAGGCTCCGGACAAACTGATAAGATGGGAACAGGCATCCCAGGTGGAGGAGCAAAAGCAGCAGTTAGACCTTCATGGGCTAAGTTTGGGAAGCAGGAAGGTCTCACCTTATGTAACTGAACACTTGAGTAGCTAATCAACTGCAAGGATCAGATGGCGTGTCATGCTCTCTGGAGAACAACACCGCCAGAGAGGGGCCCTTGAAGACTGTCTCCTGTAAGGGTGGGACCGCTTACAACCTGGGTCGGAGACTAAGAGCGTCGATTAAGGGCCTCACTTTGAGATCCCAGGACTGGTGATGACTAAGGAGTTCTCACTGCACCTCAGGGGAAAGATCAGCACACTTCTGCCTCCCAAATCCACTGGACCACTGGAGAAAGCAATGGGACAAGGCCCAGTGCGGATTCCTGTCCCATGTATATCACCAGATCTCCGGAGTTTCGGATCTTCTGGGTCTCAATTTCTGTCCCCTGCCCCGTGCGTGCATGCGTGCGTGTGTGTACACGCGCGCGCGCATGATGTATTGAGTGCGATCCCAAACCCTCCCAGCAGAGACCCTCGCAGATGAGCAGGAGAGCGGCGAACGCTAAATGGTATTTTCAGCACTAGCTGACGGACAGCACCTGCTCGGAAGGGAGTGGGAGGCCGGAGGAGGAGTCAACGTTTTAGGGTTCTGGACCGCGTTGTCACTCGCGGGCAACACCACCATATTCAGCTACAGGACTGAGTGAATTGGAGGAAAGAGAGCACAAGAGGGAGGGCAGGGATCCTTCAGAGCTTGACCGACTGCCAAATTCCTCCTGGACTGCGTTGCGGCGGAGGCAGCTCTGTATCCTGACTAGCAGTGTCGATCCGGAGCTCCATCTTCCTACCGGCGTAGTCGTGGCAAGGAGCGTCAAGCGTCCCTCGGCGCAGATGCGGAACTAAGTTACAAATCCTTCTCATCTATTGGCTGGTCGTGCCACGAATTAGCAAGCCTCCTACTCAATCGGAGACCGTCTTGAATAGCTCCGCCCCCTACCTATCGGAAGTTGGATATAACCAAATCCGATTGGACTAAGGCATACTAGTAGCCAATTGGGAGTGTGTGTGTGGGGGGGGTAACCGGCTCCTCCGAAAGGCCAATGGTAGACAGCGGACTGTGACGCCCCGTACATGGCGGCTGAGATCGGCCAGCCCTGGGACGTGTCTGGCTGTCGGGTAACTTCGGTCAGTTCTGGGCCAGAGAAGCAGCTGTTTCAGTAGTGTTTGTACCCGACTCAGCGCAGCCTGCCCTTGGGTAGAACGATCGTCTTGACCATGGCTTATCACTCGGGATTCGGAGCCCACGGTGCGTGAGGAATGGGGAGGGCGGGGCGCGGCCTGGCAGCAGGGTGCCAAATCCCCTGCGAGACCCACTCGCCCGAAGGGAGACGGCCGGCGGTGACTGCTGCCCAGGGAGGGGAATGTCTCTCGGGTTCCTGCCCTGCCACACTACAGCGTGTCCGGGACTTTGCCCTTGCTGGCCAATCCTGAGATTAGGCGGCGATAGCACAACTGAGATTCCCAAATCTCTACATGAACCGGCCTCGCCTCCAGAACTTCCTTCTCTGTTCAACTCTGGCAGCATTCCTGACCACTGTCCAGGAACTCTTGAGTAGCCAGTGTTGACTTTTCTACCTGTGTTAAGGGATGTCTTTCCGGTGAATCGTACTCAAGCAAACATCTGTTCACTCTCTAATATTCAGGGATCATCTCCCTTGCGAGACTTCCCAGAAATCCCAAGTGGACAGCCACTTCTAGGTGCGCCTAATCCCTCACCGGCATGTAGTAAAGGATTGCTCCAAAAGGATAGGAGATCTTTCCAAAAATGCACCCTGACTTCTCCTCAACCATTGTTTCGTGTCCCAGGACCTATGCACAGCTTCTCATCCTGGGGCAATGGTTTTGGTTCTTGCTCAGTATTTCTGTTACCTACTTTGGTACTCCCACACCTGCAGGTTCCAAGCACAGGACCCGGGCAGCTCCAGATCCTCCTCCACTCTTCGATGATACAAGTGGTGGCTATTCCAGCCAACCGGGTGGATACCCAGCCCCAGGAGCTGATGTAGCCTTCAATGTCAACAACCTGCTTGGAGACCCAATGGCCAATATGGCTATGGCCTATGGCAGCTCCATAGCATCCCAAGGGAAGGACATAGTGCACAAAGAGGTGTGGCCTGTGCTCAGGGAAAGGGTGACCGGATTTCTGGCTAGGGTTGGGCTGTCACAGGCTCCCACTCGATACCCCAAGCAGCCTCTAGGAACACATCCGCAGTCTCTTTTCTCTACTTCCAGCTGCACCGCTTTGTCTCTGTGAACAAACTCAAGTATTTTTTTGCTGTGGACACAGCCTATGTAGCCAGGAAGCTAGGACTGTTGGTCTTCCCCTACACACATCAGGTGAGCTTCCTACCAGGTGAGCTGGCAAACCTCTCCCCACTTTCGGATAACCTGATCCTCAGGCCTCAACCCCTTTCTCCTCTTGTTTTCCCCTTCTCCTGCTTACCTGACCCCTGCCACTGCTAGAACTGGAAAATGCAATACAGTCATGATGTGCCTCTGCCTCCACGGAAAGACCTCAACGCTCCTGACCTCTATATCCCCAGTGAGTCTCTGATGTGGGCTTGGGGACACGGGTACTTGTGCCTTGAAACATCATTAGGAAGAAGACTCAACTAATGACCCAGCCTCCATTCCTGGTGTGTTCATGTGTGACTGTTGCTAGACACCAGGGTGACAAGGCTGACCAGTAGGGTCCTGAATGGGACCTTGATGTTTCCATAACGCCTTTTTGCCTTTGGACCCTGTCTCTTTCCAGCCTGGAATGCTAGGTTACCTGGCCCGGCCGCTTCCAGCTATAGGACTTTAGGTTGGTTCTTTCAGCCTTTAGTAAAGCAAGGCCAACAATGGCTTCTGCTTCAGAGAATTGGCGTGGAGAGCCAGGGAGACGATGTGTGCTGTGCATGCCACCTGGCGTGAAGGAGACACACCACACAATAAATGCTGCCATTATTCCCCTGTCCGCGGAGGCCTGCTCCAGCGTGTGTGCCCACCCCACCCCTGCCAGGAAACCTGACCCCTGGAGCAAATGCATTCTCCCTTCTGGATCCTCACAGCTGCCTGTCTCCATGGCACCTGTCGGGCTAGCTACATAGCCTCTGCACCTTATTCTGCTCTGTCCTGTTGGCTAATCAGGGTCAGGCTCAGAGGACACCCACGAGCAGATTTGCTAGGGTGGGGCTGTCCAGAGGAGCTGCCAGGGAGGGCAACTGCTAAGGTTGTTCCATCCCCTGATCCTCTCATGATCACTGTTAGAAGCTGGTACGGTCATCCTGTCTAATGTTGAAGCCATGACTCTTAGGGACTTAGCTAACCCATAGTTTACAGGTGGCAAGGCTATGCCCTCTGGTGGCCACACCAGTTAATAAGAGGGAAGGTGATGGCTTATGATCCTGGGTGGTCCAGTGGTATTCAGCTGGAGGGGTAGTCAGAGGGGCGCCTCAGACAGGACACTGGAGAACTGAATGCGAAGGGTGAGCCGTGTTGGGATATTCAGGGGGAAGTATGGGAGATGCTAGGATATCGGTGGGCTTGACTGCCTAATGAGAGGCTTTGGGCGAGGAAGCCAGACTGACTACTTCCTTTCCTCTCTTGGCAGCCATGGCCTTCATCACATATGTGCTGCTGGCTGGGATGGCACTGGGCATTCAGAAAAGGTTGGTGCTAACCCTCTTGTTCTCCCTTCTGGCTTATCTCCCTTCCTCTCTAGGGAACGGGTGCCGGGGTCTGTGCCAGGCCCCAGCTCACTCAGTGCCACCCTTAGCCTCTCACCTCACACCTGCTCCAGGATGGCTCCTTCTGACTCCCTTCTGCCATGGCTGCAGGTTCTCCCCAGAGGTGCTGGGCCTGTGTGCGAGCACAGCACTGGTATGGGTGTTCATGGAGGTGCTGGCCCTGCTTCTCGGCCTCTACCTGGCCACCGTACGCAGCGAACTGAGTACCTTCCACCTCTTGGCCTACAGCGGCTACAAATACGTGGGGTGAGTGCCAGTGGGGAGCTGAAGGGTCTGAGGCCCCAGCTTTTGAGCCTGCATAGCTGCAGCCTTCACTGCCACCCTGGTGATGCCCCGACCCAATCTCCACCCCAGCTCTGCTCCAGCAGTCTCCTCTTGGAGATAGTGACTTCAAAGAGGTTGGGGAGCCCAAGGAACAGAAGGGGATTTCAGGTCCTGGGGCTGATCCATCTGGAGTCTGGTTCCCCGTGAGGACAGCCTGGTATCATGGGTGGTGGTGCTCACCCTCCCTTGCTGCTCTGCAGGATGATCCTCAGTGTGCTCACAGGGCTGCTCTTCGGCAGCGACGGCTACTACGTGGCCCTGGCCTGGACATCATCCGCGCTTATGTACTTCATTGTGAGTGCAGGGTGGTCCCTCCCCTCTCCTCCCCTGGGCTGGCTCTGGATTGCAGGTCCCCTCCTGGCCCAGCCTTAGCACTTCTCTCTTCTAGGTGCGTTCTTTGCGGACTGCAGCCTTGGGCCCTGACAGTATGGGGAGCCCAGCCTCTCAGCAGCGTCTCCAGCTCTACCTGACTCTGGGAGCTGCTGCCTTCCAGCCCCTCATCATATACTGGCTGACCTTCCACCTGGTCCGGTGATCCCGGGTCACAGGTGGCACTGATTTTTTCCATACATTGAAGATTTGGTTTCCTTGACTTGGCTTGACCCTGGTTCCTGGGGCCCAAGGGGGAGCCATGAACACCTCTGGGCCTCTGCATTGTCCAGGGGACTCAGCTTGGGGTTGTTTAGGAGAAGGGTAGGTAGGTCCAGGGAAAGCATCCTGGAGGAAACTTTTATACTGCCTTGAAAAACAGCTGGAAGGGTTGCATCAGACACAGCTGGAAAGGTAGCATGGGGAAATGGCTGCTAAGGAAACCTCCAAGGCCTTAGACACATCCACGAGGCTCCTGGAGAAGCCTGGGGCTAGTAGGGTGAGGTGCAGTATGCTGGGGACTTAAGCTCCAGGTCGCCCCCTTCAGAGTGCCCCACCTTACCCCATCTGTTCAAGCCTTTCAGGAACAGAACTGTAGCTTGTGTGTTTTCAGTCATTTATTCATATTTTGTCACAAATGGCCGGGGAGGGGGTGCCGGACTCCTCCAGGCAACATAGAAAATAGGACCAAGGGACAGGATGGACTGGGTTTGGGATAAGTAGAGACTGGGCTGGAAATAGAGCTTGGGGAAGGGAGAGGGCAGACTGGGGAATGGGGCTGCCCCCACATTGAGCCTGCTCATTCCTGGTGCAGGTGCCCCCCCACCTGCAGGGGGAGCTTCAAGGTGAGGGCCATGGGGGGCTGCCCAGAATTTCCAAGATCAAGGTCTGCCTGGCGGCAGGGCCCGAGTTCTCCCGAAATGGACAGGACCAGAAGTCCTGTCCCTTCCAAGACAACTGCCATGCCTCGCTGCAGGCTAGCGGAGGAGCCCCCACCCCTGTTTAGAGCTTTGCCTGGCCCTAGTTGGAGGGGGAGAGCTCTGAAGGCGGGGGGTCCCCGCAGCAGCAGTTTGGGGGGTGGAGAGGCTGGGAGGCACCAGTGCCACCTGTCTCCCCAGGGCTGAGGCCTCTCTGGCCAGAAGGGCAGGGCTAGGGGTGCACAGGTGTCCGGTCCATTCTGGGCTTGCTCCCTGGCCGGCTTCACCCTTAGAAGCTCACCAACGTATAAACCATACTGTGGGGGAGATGAAGCTGTGAACATGTGTCCTGAGAAAGTCTGCCACCCTCCCAGTCATGCCCTGGGTTGTCTGTAGTCCTCAAGGGCAAAAAGAGGGCCTGAAGCCTGGGGTCCCCCTTGCCTGTCCCCAGCTGCTGTGGCAAAGCCTCACCTGTACAGGTAATAGAAGAAGGAGAGCAGGTAGAAGGCGAGTTTGCACCAGGACTCCTTCTGGCAGTAGTTGAGGATGTCAGCATTCATGATAGAGACCGCATCATACATGACCTCAGAGCCATCCGCGGGACGGTGGAAGTACCTGGGGTGGGGGAGGTCTGAGTGCCCCCTCTAACCACCCAGGTCTGATCCCCCATACTGCCCTGCTCCCATCTTCGCCTCCCCCAGGTAGATGCCGCCCCTCACCTCCAGAGGTGGTAGAAGAGGAGGGGGATGTTGAGGCCCAGGGTCACCCACTCTGCTGCACACAGAAACATCAGACAGAAGAGGCCGTGGATGGAATATTCCGGGACCACGAGCTGGGGGAGCGAGGGTGAGAGGTCAATGGCCTGGTGCCAGGACCAACCCAAGCTTCAATGGCACAAAGGGGTGATGAGGTTTAGGAAATACCAACCCACCATGATCTCAGAACTAGAAGGCCTCTCTGGCTTGCCATTCCCACCCTCCCAGGCGGCAAAGTGGATCAAACAGGCTCAGAGAAGGGAAAGGCCTCACTGGGCTACAGAGGGTGAAGGCAGCACTAGCTAGGAGCTCCCTGACCCCTGTCCTGACACTGACCTTCCTCAGGAGGCAGCAGATGCGTTCGATGTTTTTCAAACGCTCGCGCTGTAGGGAAGGAAAGGGCCTAGATAAGTGAGGCCGAGGAGCAGAAACCAGGGCGCCTCCCACGGCCCTGCGTGTGGTCGCCAGAGGGCGCCAGAACACTCTGCGGTGTCTTTCTCTCAGGAAAGCAGCCGCGTCCCCATGGCGACTGTCGCCATGGAAGGGCCTTCACCCGCATCTCCATGGCAACGGCCTGGAGCCTGGAAAAGGCTGCCCCACCAGGAGGAACCCGAGCCCTGAGCCCGCTCCAGGTGTTTGTGAGAATGGGGACAGGGAAAAGGACAGGGTCACATCACCGGCCCTCCACATGGCACCCCCATCTTCCCGACCCCCATTCCCACCTTCCACCCGTGACAGAAAGACAAACAGACGGACACACCTCAGCACAGCACATGTATCACTTACTGCCCGCGCTGGGTTCCCCTGGTCGATGGGGTTCTTGAAGTCAGTCCGCAGTTCATCAAAGGCTATAATCTGGGGGTGGGGGCATGTGCCTGTCAGGGTTGGGGCAGGCCCACCACCATCCCGAACATCCCAGGCCCCAGATGGCTCAGAGGAAAAGAACATGGGCTTCTTGGAGGGAGCTGGATAGCAACCCCCCCCCACACACACATACATACACACGTGCCTGTCCTTCCATGGGATAGGGATTTATACTTGGGGCCCTGCCATATGGAGTTTACTGCAAAGTGAAGAAGCAGAAGGACAGGTCTTGGCCCAAGCTCACACAGCAGTAGACAATGGAATCCTAACGTCTACTGTACTCCCCAAACATTGCAAGACATGGCCTCTCCTCTCCCAGGCCTCATGCTGAGCACAGAAACCCTAGAGGGCTGGAACACAGTTCTTGTCCAGGAGGCACCCTAGGTGGGTGGGGAGAGAACTCTGGCTCAGTAGCGAGGGGCAGAGCTGGACTCCATACGGGTTGGTGGGTTCAAGCTGACTGAAAGCATTTGGTGAACAAATGGGAGGAACGCAGTCCAAGCAGGGGTAATAATGAGAGGAAGGCACAGAAGGTTGAGAGAACATTCTGTGGTTCATGGGGCTGGGCTGTGTGAGGATGGGGAGGGAGGGAAGGATGCAAGGCTGGTGGGAAGGTCAGCAGAGCCTGTCCCTGCAAGGCCAACCAAGACGAGGTTTACCGCAAGAGTAGAGGGAGTCCTAGAGGATTACAAAGCAACAAAGGGGACAATCAGATTCAGGTTGGTGGGGACACAAGCTGGCAACCGCCACAGCAGGCTTTATTAGCTCACTGAACGCCTGCACCAACCTAATGGCTTAAGTCCTAGTATTATCTTCATTTCTGACTTGCAGATGAGAAGACAGGCGAGTGTCCTGTCCGAGGCCACACAGCTACTACGTGCTAAACTTGCAATCCAGTTAAAAGCACTGCCCACTTGGTTACACGCAGAGCAGACCACTGAAGGGCCTGTTCCAGTCAGGGAGGGGTTGGCAGTGGTCTAAGTGAGGAGGACGGTGGCCATGGCAATGCTGTTGACCAGCTGCAAAGGGCCTGTGTGGTATGGGGAGAGGAGGTAGGCGATCCCAAGTGACTTCTGGTGTGTCCGGGGGATGGCAGTGTACTCAGGAGTGGGGAAACTCCCGAGGTAGCGGGTATTCGAGGAGATGATGGTGTGGATCTAGAAGAACCTGCTGGTGACCTGGGGGAGGCAGGCTGGCAGAGAAGCCTGACTGAGGGGGGGGGGTGGGGAGGAGAGGGAAAGGGGGGTTCCTTCCCTTCCCCTCTAGCCCCAGAATGAGGCAGCAGGCCCACCACCCCCAAACATCCTAGACCCCATACGGTTCAGAGGAAAAGAACATGGGCTTCCTGGAGGGAGCTGGGGCCATCTGGAGCCCCTCCCCCAATTCCTCTGACTCTGGGCAGCTGCCTGCCTGATAGGCACAGCAACGGGGTCCAGCAGGGGCGGAAGGGTGCCGTCTGTCTGCCCCAGAGCTGGCACCACCAGCAGGCAGAGGGTGTTGAGCCTCCCACCCCCCAGGCTGCTTGGCGCTGACTCAGCGTCTCCCCCCCACCCTCCCCCACCCCGGAACAAACAATTCCCCACTGTGACAGCTGATACACGTCACTCACCAGGGTTGCCTAGTGACTAGTAGGGCCTGGGCTGAGGGTTGAGGCAGGACCTGGGCTCCTGGCTCAGAAGGTTCTACTTCTTAACAACTTTGAATCGAGGCCCACATCTCCTCTCCCAGACCTCATTCTATAAGCCCATTTTACTGACGAGGGCACAGCTCCAGCTAACTAAGATGACCTAGCTAAAAGGCTGAAACAGTGACTTGTAGTAGGGGCTCCAGAAAGGTTCGTTGACACAACAAAGGTGCTGCTCCTTGGCAGACTTCATCTCAGCCTGGGCGTTCATTCTGCAAGGGCAGTGTCTGGGTCTTATGTAGCCTGACTCCTGTGCAGGTGCCATGCAGCCGTGCTAGGCAGGCTGCTCTGAGATCTCCTGAAAAGAGGGGTCCTACCAGAGAAAGGGGACGTGAGTGGGAAGTGGGCTTCTAGAATTTCAGGAGTTAGTTACCTCCTGTGCATCCCATTCTTTTTAATTCTTAGGATCCAAGCTCCCCTGCTCCCACAGGACTGCCCAAGGCCCTGAGCCTTGGCAGAAAGCTCAGAATGGATCTGAGGTGACAGAAGGGAGCAGAGGACAAGAAAAAAGCAAAAGCAACTGGGAAACTCGGATCAAGACAAGCAAAGTGAGGGGTAGGGCTGGAGACAGGGCACATGTCTGGAGATACTCGTGGGGGCTTAGGATCTTCATATAGTAGGGAGGGCAAAAGGAAGGGATGGGGAGACTTCCTCAAGCGTGGGGGGGGGACGGGGGACTACTGGTGAGCAGTCAGCAAATCCAGGAAGAGAGAGAAAGTGGCAGAGCAGGAAAGAGGTAGGTTTTAGGTTTGCTAAAGCAAGGAGGAAGGGAGGCATGCTGGTGGCCTGCGGATATGAGGAGCCCTGAAGGAGGATATGCCAAGGCCAGGGAGGTGTGCGCAGGTGTGAATAAAGAGCACTGGTAGCTACAACAGACAAGGGCCTGCATGGGTCAGAGGGGAAGCTGGAAGGGGGGCACAGAGACCCCAACAGTGAGCCAGAGGCTCATAGTTCTATAGTGAAGAGAAAGGGACCAGGTAGAGGGTACCCTTGGAAAAGCCCA